CAGTCAGGAAATCAAAAGACGCATTGCATTAGGCAAATCTGCTACAACAGACCTCTTTAAAGTATTGAAAAGCAAAGAATGTCACCTTGAAGACTAAGGTGTGCCTGACCCAAGCCATGGAGTTTTCAATTGCCTCATATGCATGCGAAAGCTGGGCAATGAATAAGAAAGACCTAAGAAGAACTGACGTCTTTGAATTGTGGTGTTGGCGAAGAATATTGAAGATACCATGGACACCAAAAGAACAAACAAATCTATCTTGGAAGAAGTACAACCAGAATGCTCCTTAGAAGGAAGGATGGCGAGATTACGTCTTACATACTTTGGACACGTCAGGAGAGATGACTCCCTGGAGAAGGACATCATGCTTTGTAAGGTACAGGGTCAGCGAAAAACAGGAAGACCCTCAGTGAGATGGATTGACACAGTGGCTGCAACAATGGGCTTCAAGCATAACAACGATTGTGAGCACGATGCAGGATCGCACAGTGTTTCGTTCTGTGGTGCACAGGGTCGCTATGAGTTGGAACCGACTTGACAGCCCCTTCTAACAACAACAAAAAATATCATAGTATTCTGAAATGATTGTAGCATTTTACATTCTCATAGGCAATTTATGAGAGTTTCTGTTACTCCAAATTCTTCCTAACTGTTGATATTGTCAGTCTTTTAAATTTCAGTGCTATCTGGCAGATGCATGTGGTATCTAATTTTGGTTTTAATTTGCATTTTGCTGATGAATAATGAGGTTAAGCATATTTTCATATGTTTATTGGCCATTTGGATATTCTCTTTTGTGAATTGCCTATTCAAGGCTCTTGCCCATTTATCTACTAGGTTTTATGTCTTGTTTGTTGATGTGTAGTGGTTCTTTTTACTTTGTGGACAGGGTCCTTTGTTCAATATACGTATTGCAAATATCTTCTCTTACTCTTTGGCTTGCCTTTATATTATCTTAATGGTGTCTTTTGATGAACAGAAGTTCTAAATTTTAATGGAATCCAATTTATCAATTTTTTTCTTTTATTGTTAGTTTTGTTTGAGAAATATTTTCTTAATGTAGGGTCATGTAGATATTCTCCTAAATTATGCTTTATCATTTTCTCTTTCACATTTAGGTCCACAATTTAGCTACAATTGAATTTTCATGTGTGATATGAAGTTATGGCCAAGTTTATTTCTTCTTTTTTTTTTCTTTATGGATATTCGATTACCTAGCACCATTTATTGAAAAGACTCCCCATTCCCCACTGCACTACAGTATCACTTTCACCATAAACCAAATGTCCATGCATGTTTGGGTCTGTTTCTGGGCTCTGAATTTTGCTCCATTGGTCTAGTTGTTTATCCTTGCATTGACACACACACACACAGACAAACAATACAACTGTCCTAATTACCGTGGCTTTAAAGTAAATCTTGATATTTGTTATAGCAAGTCCTCTCACCTAGCTCTTCATCAATATTGTCTTGGCTATTTTAGTCCTTTGTCTTTTCATATAATTTTTAGAATCAGCTTGTCAATTTACACACACACACAGACAAAGCATGCACACATAAAGAGGTTGGGATTTTGATTGGGATTACACTGGATCTGCAGATCAATTTGGAAAGAACTGGCAACTTTAGAATATTGAGTTTTCCAATTCATGAACACGGTATAACTCTTCACTTATTTGTTGTTGTTGTTAAGTCTGTTGAGTCAGTTCTGACTCATAGCAACCCCATGTACCACAGAAAGAAACACTGTCCAGTCCTGTGCCCCATGCTTACAATTGTTGTTATGCTCGAGCCCATTGTTGCAACCACTGTGTCATTCCATCTTGTTGAGGGTCTTCCTCTTTTTTGTTGACCCTCTACTTTACCAAGCATGATGTCATTCTCCAGGGACTGATCCCTTCTGACAACACGTCCAAAGTATGTAAGACGTAGTCTTGTAATCCTTGATTCTAAGGAGCATTCTGGTTGTACTTCTTCCAAGACATTCACTTATTTAGGTTCGTTAAAATTTATCTTAATGATATTCTATAATTTTCTTTATATAAATCTTGCACGTTTTTTGATAGATTCATTTTGATGCTACAGTAAATGGTATTTAAAAACATTTCACACCCTGTTTGTTGTTGGTATAGAGAAAAGCAATTTGGGTTTTGTATACCGACTTTAATTCCAGTAACTATGCTAAAACTTTTGTTAATTCTCATATAGATTCTCTTGGATTTTTTTAAGTACATAAGATGTCACCTGCAAATAATTGTATTTGTTTCTTTTGTCTTTTCCGACCCTACTATCTTTTATTTTTCTTGCCTTACTGCACTGTCTAGGATCTCCAGTACAATGTTACATACAAGTGGAGATAGTGGGCATCCCTTCTGATGTTCCCATTCTCAAAAGAAAAGCTTTCATCAATGCATCATTTTTTTCAACTCTGATGTCTTTTTTGACCTATGGTTAGTTTAGAAGCATATTTCCAAATTTCCAGAAATATGAGAATTTTCAGAGTATCTTTAATTACTGACTTCTAGCTTAATTGCATTCTGGTCAGATAACATACGCTGTGTGATTTCAGTTCTTTGACATTTGTTGAAACTTGATTTGTGGCCCATTAATAATCAATTTTGCCAATGTTCTCTATGTGCTTGGATAGAATGTGTAAGCTGCAGGCGTAAGTGCAGTGTTCTATATACTCGTTAAGTTCATTTGTTGATCATGTTGTTAAAATTTTATCTATTCTTGCTAATTTTTATATGCTTGTTCTGTGAGTTACAGAAAGAGTTAAACACTTTCACTCTGATTATAGATTCGTCTATTTTCCTTGTAGTTCTTTTAATGTTTGCTTTACCCATCTATCCGTTTGTCATACTGTGATGGCTTACATGTTGCTATGATGCTGGAAGCTAAGCCACCGATATTTCCAAGACTAGCAGGGTCATCCCTGGTGGACAGGTTTTAGTGGAGCTTCCAGAATAAGATGAACTTTGGAGAAAGGCCTGGTGATTTACTTCCAAAAATTAGCCAATGAAAACCTTATTGATCATAACAGAACACTGTCTAACTCACTGCTTTGGACACATCATCAGGAGGGATTAACTGCTAGAGGAGGACATCATGTCTGGTGAAGTAGAGGGCCATGGAGGATGAGGGAGACCTTCAGTAAGATGAATTGGACCAATAGTTGCAATGATGGACTCAAACATGCTGGTGATTGTGAGGATGCTGCAGGACTGAGCAATGTTTCATTCTGTTGTGCATAAGGTTGCCATGAATTGGAGTCAACTCAACAGCACCTATCTATCAATCAATCTAGCTCTACTTACCTATCTATCAGTTAAAACAAACTTAGAATTGTTGCAAATTCTTGGAGAAATAAAGCAATTCTTATTGTAAAGTGAGTTTGTTTAATTTTGGTATTCCTTTTTTGCCTTAAAAATCTACTTCGTCCTTTTCTTTGTAATCTATGGTACATTTTCTCCCATTTTTTTACACTCATTATTTCTTTAGATGCATTTTAGATGCATCCTTTATAAAAACATATATGGTTACTGTTTTGCCCTTTGGTTTATATTTTCATACAGTCTTACAGTCTTAGAGTTTTAATTAGATCATTTAGTCCCATTTGTATTTAATGTAATTACTTGTATATTTGAGTTTATATTCATTATTAGAGTTATGAAAATGAGAAGCCAGCATTTACTTCTGAGGCTTATGGAAGGGATGGTCCATTAAGCAGAGTTATCAGCTACAGAACAGGTATAAAATGACTTTTTCAGGGGCTAAAAAAGTATGCAATTTTTTTTATCCTCACAACATTAGCATAGGACTTACACAATAGGTATACGATAAATATTTTTTGATTAAATTGATAAATGTGAGGTCTATATTTTTGACTAAGAATACTCCCTGCAGCTTAGCAAGTTTCCCAATTTTTTTAAACTAAAGGGTCTCAGGGAAAGAAACTGGCAATATCCATTAGGACAGGGTAGTAAGATTACATTGGGAAAAAAGAATATTTTGTAACTTTTGCCAGAGGATCAGAAATAGAGAGATTTAACAATTGAGGCATTTAAACATTTAAGGTCTAGAACAAACGTCAACATTTTCATTTTTCAAAATAATCTGGGGAAAAGATTCAAACCCCCAAATGCACAAACATCCAAAATCCAAATCAACAATGGAAGTCACTCAACTGGGTAATACAAATATGTTACTACCTCATTCTTTTGTGCCATGACTTGAATTAATGAAAAGTTTGAAGACAAAGAAATGTTGCTTTCAGCGCATATATTCTGCCATTTATTCACAATCAGCTGGCGAAATTCTGCTGTTAACACTCCACTGTAGACAATGCATGCTGCTGAAATCAGTATGTCACCCAAGATTCCTCTCAATTTCTTGTCTGTTTGATTGATTGTTTCTTGCCATCGAATCTAAATGTTAAAATGAAAATGAGTTATTGGTATTTGATATAAAACATAATGAGACATTTTAAAAATTAATGCTCTCCCAGATTAATCTGTGGTTGCTATTACTATTGTAGTTGCATGAAAATTAATAATGCATAATGTTTAAAAATGAACTGTTTCTGAGGGGACACTATTGCCATTCCTGGATTTGTCAATGGTGTCATATTTGCTAAGATAGACAGATCACCATTTCAAATTCTTTGTATAATAAAAGAGGATTTTTTTTTAAAAAAAGATTAATCCATTATATTATTAATGGTGTTCAATAATAAAAACAACCAACATTTATTAACTCCTTACTTACTTGCTGGACACTTTACTTTGAAAATCTCATTTGATGTCTTTAACGGCTTGGTTAAGTAAATGTTATTGACTTCATTTCGAGACGAAGAAACTGAAGCTCAGAGAAATTAAGCAACTTGCTCAAGATTACAAAGCTTCTGAGGGTGTAGCTGGGACCTGAACCCAATTCTCTGGCTCCAGAGCCCCTGTTCTAAGCCACTATGCTGCATTGCCTCCCTCTTCAACCATGTATGTGCTTGACTGGCCAATGAATAAAGCACGTTGAGCAAGAACCTTCTCTTCTGGAAGCTTAAAATCTGGGATAATGCTGATGGTCTACTGCCTCTCTACATGTACTTGACTCTCAGGGACATCAATCAACTTTTGAGGGCTTGATTTCATAACCTTCTTCTCCTATCCTGCACAAGAGTCTTCCAAGGTATGTATTTATTTAAACAATCAAACCAAATTAAAATTATCTTGACAATTTTGTAACATCCCTTGAGAAAGGTTAAGGTGTGACCAAACCAAGATTCGAGTCAGCTCACTAGGGATTCGAGTATAAAGAAGGTGGGTAAATTAGAGGAAAGAAAAAGATGAGATAAAAGGGGTCAGACGTTTGACAGGACAATAAAATTCTCTTTTTCTTTCCTAAGGACATCGCCTCTCTTTTGGCCTCACCCATGCTTTACACCCTCAGCTTGGGTTGCTGCTGTGCTAGAAAGGGAAAACTCAGGACATGCTCATTGAAAGGCTGCCCAGGGCCTCATCAGACAAAAATGTGCTGAGGTCTTAATGAGCAAGAGAAGATAAACTCTGATCTCTGTAGTCTGTGGAAACCCTGGTGGTGCAGTGGTTAAGAACTACAGCTGCTAACCGAAAGGTCAGCAGTTTGAATCTACCAGGCGCTCCTTGGAAACTCTACGGGGCAGTTTTACTCTGTCCAATATGGTCAACGATGAGTTGGAATCGACTCAATGGCAATGGGTTTGGTTATTTTTTTCTGTAGTACGTTATCTCTGTTTTAAGACTACTTGACCGGGATGCACTTATTTTATCTGAATAGACGGTCCACAGGTCTTATTAAGAAATTGGATAGTAAGATAGCTTTAGGAAACATACGATGTAGGCTGCAGTGAAAATTATCTTGGGGTTTTGAAGTCAATATAAACCAAGGAAAGTCATGCCTTTTCATCGTCCAGGGCAGTTAGTAAGATAGATGCACACTGCAAGCGCTTGGTGGCTAGTCTTCTCCGATTTGCTAATAGTTCTTTTTCAGCAACAGCATCTTTGTAGGTTGCTTGCAAAGACAGCAGATGTTCTTCAATCTGAAAGACAATTAATTTCTTATTGAGACAAAATCTTATTCTCATTTTGCCTCGGGAGTTTATCTGTCATTTATACCAATAGAATGGGTAACCACTTCATTTTTACATCCTGGAAAATCTGCCTGGGAAGATGGATTCTATCACAATAAAAATACACGTTGTAGTAATTAAATGATTCCTTGATAGGGTCGCTGTCAGTCAGAATCGACTCAACAGCAAAGGGTTTTTTTTTTTTTTTTGATAGTAAAGTTTTTTTTGTTTTGTTTTTTTTTAAAGTGATCTTCCTTCCCCAGCAGGCTTTCTTGTAATCCTAGCATTTGAAGAGTCATCATTTTCTGACTTATTTTTCACACAGGAAATTTTATATCATATCCAGGTTCCTTCCCTAAGAAAATCGTTTAACTTTTTAACCCCAGATACACTGAGCAGACCAGAGAAATGATGAGTTTTGAAGCTAGGCTGGTAGGATGAAGGGGCTGTTAAACTATCCCTCGGATGTCAGTGGAGAAAGTCATCTATTTTCATAAATATCTGACAGATAGTTTTCTTAAATTCCAACTTATCTTGATAACACCACTGCTCAAAAACATTTGGCGAATTCTTAAAGAAATCATTGCCTACGAGTATAGTTTAAAGTCAATAAAAGCCTCAACGATTTAACCCCAACCTTCCCTCCAATTCACCTCTTTAATTACTCCTTTCCAATAATATTACACTTCAGCCAGACTGGTTTATTCCATATCTCCTAAATATCCCTTACATTTTCTTACCTCTGGGATTTGGCTCACATCCTTCCCTTATGCCTGGACTGTATCCTTTCCTTAACCAAACCCATTGCTGGCGAGTTGATTCCGACTGATAGTGATCCTAAAGGACAGAGTAGAACTGCCCCATAGGGTTTCCAAGGAGCAGCTGGTAGATTCGAACTGCTGACCTTTTGATTAGCAGCCAAGCTGTTAACCTCTGTGCCACCAAGGTGCTACCCTTTCCTTAAAGGAATGCAAATCCTAGGCATCCTTTAAAATCCTGATCCACTTCTAGCTGTCATGAAGTCTCAGCCTTGTCAAATCTACACTGATGCACTATTATAATAGTATTTATAAATTGCCTAATACTATCTTTTGTGTTGTAGTCTTATAGGCTTATTAAGCCTTAGATTGTTATTTATATTTTTGATAGATTCTCATGTCTGTTTAAAATCTTTGAAGACAGTGTTTAGCATGGAGACTTGAACATGGTATACATTTACTTGTGTATACAAAATTGTGTTTATTGAATACAATTTGGAATTTATAATTTTTCAACCTATATTTAATATGTTATCCGGGTGAAAATATTTATCTAATTTTTACAAAAAATATATACATAGTGCTACACTTTTGGCATGCTTACTCTAATTATTTTGTATTTATTCCCAGTTCATCTATAGTAATTATTCAGTTGTTTGCTCTTTTACACATTATATTATTTTTGTCTGCTTGCCCATTCTCTCTCTTTTGTTACTTTGAGGAAATCTCCTTCCTTGCTACTCACAATCTTGTGAGTTATTTAAATATTAAAGTGTAAGGCCTACTGACTCATTAAACACATGGAATGTCTATTATAAGGCAGGCTTTGTATTCTCCCAAGGTAATGTTTTTGATGCTCATATGATTTAATAAGTTCTGGTATTATTTCTTTTCTCCCAAGTTCCCTAGATTTTTCAGAAACATTTTTTATGTTGGGGCCCAGGTGAATGAAAAGACCTATTTTTAAAATAGAAGACAGTACATAGCTGAGTGAGGAGAAAACCTCTAGGAGAAGCTTAAAACCAGTGGAGTTAGCTATTCAACTCAATAAAAAATGTTAAGTGTAAAAATATACATTTTAAATATACTTCTTTGAGTCCAATGAGTTAAAATGCTAGAAACTACTTATGGAGTGTGTGGTTGAGAGGCGGGAGTGTGAAGTATTAGTGAGTGAGGGTCTGGCTGAAATTTACAGTTCATCTTTCTCTCTCCTAGCACTTGATAATAACAAAAACAAACTGACAATATTAAAAACAAACATTTGTTGGATAAATATATGAAAAACACACAAAAAAGCATCATTGACATCAGGAGAATCAAATAGATACCAAAATAAAAAATTTCAAGCATTTAATGGATAAACAAAGTGTGGTACATGCATACAATGGAATATTCAGCCATAAAAAGGAATGAGGTCCTGATACATGCTACAACATGGAAGAATCTTGAAACAAGTCAGTCATAAAAGGACAAATATTGTACGATTCCACTTATATCTAGAATAGGCGAGTATATACAGACCAAAGCTGATTAGTGGTTACCAAGGGGGAAAGGGGAACTCTTTGCTTAGGGGACAATATTTTTGTTAAGGGTGATGGAAAAACTTGGAAATGGATAATGGTGATGGTTGCACAATATGATGAACACAATGTCATTGAACTGAACATGTGAAGAATGTTGAAATGGCAAATGTTATGTTACATATATATTTATCATAATAAAAAAAACTTAAGCATCAAAAATAAGTACTAAAATCTTACTGAAAATCTATGTTTAGTAAGCTAGATATTCAACTAATACTTACTTTCTTCTCTTTTTACTCCCTAACAGTGCTGTCCAAGGGAAATATAATGCAAATCACATAAGTAATTTTAAATTTTCTAGTAGCCACATTAAAAAACATAGAAATAGGTGAAATTAACTTTAATAACACATTTTAATACAATATATAAAAATACTATCATTTCTATAAGAAATCAAAATAAAAATTATTGAGGTAGTTTATATTCGTTTTTCATACTAAGTCTTTGAAATCCAATGAGTACTTTACACCTACAGCACATCTCATTTGGACTAGTCACACTGAGCCATATTGTGCTCAATAACCACATGCGACCAGTGGGTGTCATATTGGACAGTGAAGCTCTACACAGTCACCTGGGTGATTCACTCACTCGATTATACCAGCTTCCACTTATGTGCTGATGACTCCTAAATCTCTCATGTTTAGCCCATAGCCTTCCTTATTAAATAAGTTAATCATCCTTCCCTGATTAGGGATTGTTTGGGGTCCTGTAGGTATGGGTTTAGGAAGTGTGGGAAAGTAGTACAGATTGAAACCATATTGCTGTGAAATGAGACGTCATGGGTGGAAGAGAGTAGTGAAGGCAAATTCTGTAATGGCTGTATGAGTATACTGTTCATGTCTATAGAATGTGGAGGACCAGAAGGACTCTCCAAACATTTAATAAATGAGTTCAATCTGGAAGTTAGAAGGCAGGTGACAGAAGGCGGATGAGTTCATAAATGGAGGGCCTTGAATAAACAATTCTCTGCAGATGAACAATAGGATATGTACCGCAGGCAGAAGATGAGCATCAGGCAGGTAGGTAAACTATGGAAACAGAGGACTTTGTTGAAGAACAGCAATTCTTATGTTGTTTTTGTCTGCTTGATTGCCCCCTCCCATCTTTTTTAAAATTCTTTTGAGGGAACCCTTTCCCTGCTACTTATGATCTTGTAAGGGCTATCAATCTTTGTGCTCCAACCCCTGCTGTAGGTACTGACATGTGACTCAGACTGGCCAATCATAGTGACCTATCTAGTTGGCATGAAATTCTGTCATTTGAACTTGGAAGACTCCAAGGCCTGGAGGTTGGGAGACTCCAAGGATGGTGCTGGTTAAAGTCTTCACCAAAAACCAAAACGAAACCCGTTGCTGTCAAGTCGGATCCATTCCAACTCGTAACGACCCATAGGACAGAGTAGAACTGCTCCATAGGGTTTCCAAGGAGTGGCTGGTGGATTTGAACTGCCGACCTTTTTGGTTCGAAGCTGTAGCACGCCATGGCTCTTAACCACTGGGCCACCAGGGCTGCAAAGTCTTCACAGTGTGTTCAAATTGTTCAAGGTGCATCTGGAAAGTTCCCCCAGATGAGACTGTACCTCACCCTGAGGGTTTTTCTGAAGTCCTGGGCTCCAAGAGATTCGGGATACAGGCATGAGTTTTGGACTTGAGGAGTGAATACACAAAGGTCCATACAGTTTTGGTAGACATTGAACATCCTATTCTTTTTAGAGAACACTGGGCTCCTAGGAAGTGGGAGCTGGGTGGAGGTAGAAATGGAGGGTCTGATGAATTTTTGCAACATGTTGTAGAGGGCGTTGGCTTCTGGCTCAGAGCAAGTTCACCCACTTCTTGACAGGTATCAGGCTCAACACCAGGCACATCTTGTTATCCTATTCCCAATAAGATGGCAGTCCCCTACCTTCTAGTCTGAAAACATCTCCAGGCAGGCAGGATACTTGATTGATTGGTGTTTTTAGGCCATATTGGCAAAACTGACAGGTGAAGTACATACAGAGTGTGCCTTTTCCAGGTGTGGCTGGGTTGTGAGTATCAAAATGGGAGAGACCATGGACCAGATGAAACTTGGGTGGAACATAATGGACACTATCAGACACTTTAGAGTGTTTCTCAACTCCCCAACAATTTAGTAGAGGTGGTATTTTGTGATCATCCATCAGGATTGCCCACTCAATTTGTAGGCACTACTTTTGCACTTGAGGAGTGATTTGTTTTTTTGCCTAGGGCTTCGTCCACAAAACTACTGGCTACCATGAGTCTATCCCAGCAAGGATCTGAGGGTGGGCTCCTGCTACCTTTGGAGTAGGGGCTAAGGGGCTATCACTCACTGGCTTCCTGACTCCTCTGTTCCTCATTGTGAAATGGGAGCCACAGTAATGCTCATCTCATAGAGTTGGTGTGACGATGAAATTAATTAACATAGGAAAGATGCTTAGAATAGTTCCTGGCACATTTTAAGTGTTCAGGAAGTTAGTTGTTACTGTAGTGGTGGTTATTATTGCTGTGGTGAAAACTATGGCTGGGGCTTAGTGCGAGTCTACATCCAGCAACCAACATGGTGCAGCACAGCTTTTCACAATGCACACACAGCTGCCACATCTATAGCAAACCTCCTCTCTAGGTAC